TTTTTTTTTTGTTTTTGTAGTGCTTTTCTTAATTCTGAATTTTGAATGATAAACTGTAACCAGAACTTTAGATGATTATATTTTGGTGTTACAGAAGCCGAATATGCAAATCCTGGTCGATTTGCAACGGATATGTATTTTGCACAAGATACACAGCCGTTTATGCCCAATGCACCACTGTTCAATCCGATGACAGCTTCGTCAGCCGGTGATTATCAGCGAAGTTTTGTCAAGACAGAATCTGAACCATTTTTACCTGCAAATCCGTTTACCCATCCAACCTATCCTCATTTTGCTTTTCCAATGCAGTCGGTACAAAATCCCGGTCAACGGATGCGAGCACCCCTGCAGTGCAAATGGATTGAGGTTTATTTTCTTGACCAGCAGAAAAACAAGAAAGCAAAGCAAATCATACAGAAGACATAAAACTGATTAAAAATTCAAGAAAAGAAAAAAGAAGAAGTTTTCTTAATATTACCTCAAAGTAGCAGTGATTTGCAGAGGAATCGAATGTGCAATCGGATTTTCTACATGATCGATCAGTTAGTTTCACACATTCAACATGAACATGTCGGTGTCAATGAGACATCGACGCATATTTGTCTATGGGAAAATTGCGAACGTAAAGGCAGAACGTTTAAGGTTAATTCTGATGAATGTTCATTAATATACAACTGAAAAAAGAAAAAAAAACTGCAATTTTTTTTTTTTGCTTCTTGTTTCCTTTGTTCATTTGTTTTTTTTTCTTTTAAAAAATTATTGTTTTTTTGCATACATTTCGTTTAATAAAAAAAAAAAAAACAAATTTTTCTTTCTTCTTTTTTGTTTCTGCTTTATGACTATCAAAAAAAGACGTTAAAAAAGTACCAAGAAAATGACTTGCTGCTTTTTAAAGTTGATTTCTAGAGTTCCTCATAACGTGTATCACCCACCAAAAGGCTGTTTAGATGAAGTTTAGTGAATAACTTTTTTCCTTTCTTGCATATACATTTGCAGTTGTTTTAGGCCAAATATAAGTTGATCAATCATATTCGAGTACATACGGGTGAAAAGCCATTTCCATGTAATATATGCCATAAAGGTTTTGGTAGAAGTGAAAATTTGAAAATTCATCAACGTACCCATACCGGTAAGAATTTACAATTTATATTAATAATTTTTTCTGAATAAGATAATAATAATAAATTTTCGGTAATGGTTGTTTTTCTGCTGAACAAAGTAACCAAAGTTGTTGAT